TTTTGTGATGGAGTCTTAGATATGACATTAAAAGCACAAGCAATAAGAGAAAAAAATAGACAAGTTGAGCTTCATCAATATTTAAAATTTCTATGCACCAAAGAACATAATCAGGAGAGTGAAAGGCAATGAACAGCATGAAAGAATTTATTTGCAAACCCTGTATCAGATACGTGTTTAGTATATAGAATATATAGAGAACCTTACAACTGAAGAACAGAAAACAAACAACCCAATTCAAAAAAACGGGCAAAGGATTTGAATAGATATTTCTCCAAAGAAGATAATACAAATGGCCAACAGACATGTGAAAAGATGCTCAACATCATTAGACACTTGGGAAATGTAAATCAAACCACAATAAGATACAAGTTTGCACTCACTAACGTGGATATAATTTAAAAAATAAAAAACCTCAGGATATGGAGAAATTGGAGCCATTTTACATTGCTGGGAGTAATGCAAAATGGTATATAGCTACTGTGGAAAACAGTTTGGCCATTCTGCAAAACTTAAATATAGATGTGTGATATGACTCAGCAGTTCCATTCCCAGATATATACCCAAAAGAATTGAAAGCAGATAATCAAACAAATACTTGTACATGAATGTACATAGTCGCACTATTCACAACAGCCAAAAGGTGGAAACAACTCAAATATCCTTTAATTCATGAATGGATAAACAATTTATGGTATATATATAATGGAATATTATTTGGCAATAAAAAGGAATGAAATACTGATTGCTGCTATAGCACAGATGGACCCACAAACCATGATCTGAGAAAGAAACCAAATTCAGAAGGCCCACACATTTCGTGGTTAAATGGTTAGAATGGTGAATTTTATGTCATGTGAATTTTACCACAATGGAAACTCATAATAAACCGCCAAAGGAAAAAATGAAGATGGGCAAAGAAAGCTGTTTTGGATTAATGGAGATTAAAAAGACATGACAAATAAAGGCCATTTATGTCTGTGGACTACATCCTGGACTAGAGGGAAAGTTCAATTCAGTTCAGTCGTGTCTGACTCTGCAACCCCATGGACTGTAGCACGCCAGGCCTGCCTGTCCATTACCAACTCCTGGAGTTTACTCAAACTCATGTCCATTGAGTCGGTGATGCCATCCAACCATCTCATCCTCTGTCATCCCCTTCTCCCACCTTCAATCTTTCCCAGCATCAGTGTCTTTTCAAATGAGTCTGTTCTTCACATCAGGTGGCCAAAGTATTGAAGTTTCAGCTTCAACGTCAGTCCTTCCAATGAATATTCAGGACTGATTTCCTTCTGGATGACTGGTTGGATCTCCTTGCAGTCCAGGGGACTCAAGTGTCTTCTCCAAAACCTCAGTTCAAAAGCATCAATTCTTCGGCACTCAGCTTTCTTTATAGTCTAACTCTCACATCCATACATGACCACTGGAAAAACCGCGGCTTTGAGTAGACAGACCTTTGTTGGCAAAGTAATGTCTCTGCTTTTTAACATGCTGTCTGGGTTGGTCATAACTTTTCTTCCAAGGAGTAAGTATCTTTTAATTTCATGGCTGCAGCCACCATCTACAGTGATTTTGGAGCCCCCCAAAATAAAGTCAGCCAGTGTTTTCACTCTTTCCCCATCTATTTGCCATGAAGTGATGGAACTGGATGCCATGATCTTAGTTTTCTGAATGTTGAGCTTTAAGCCAACTTTTTCACTCTCTTCTTTCACTTTCATCAAGAGGCTCTTTAGCTCTTCTTCACTTTCTGCCATAAGGGTGGTGTCATCTGCATATCTGAGGTTATTGATATTTCTCCCAGCAGTCTTGATTCCAGCTTGTGCTTCATCCAGCCCAGTGCTTCTCATGATGTACTCTGCATAGAAGTTAAATAAGCAGGGTGACATGTACAGCCTTGACGTACTCCTTTTCCTATTTGGAACCAGTCTGTTGTTCCATGCCCAGTTCTAACTATTGCTTCCTGACCTGCATACAGATTTCTCAAGAGGGAGGTCAAGTGGTCTGGTATTCCCATCTCTTGAAGAATTTTCCACAGTTTGTGGTGATCCATGCAGTCAAAGGCTTTGGCATAGTCAATAAAGCAGAAATAGATGTTTTTCTAGAGCTCTCTTGCTTTTTCGATGATCCAGCAGATGTTGGCAATTTGATCTCTGGTTCCTCTGCCTTTTCTAAAACCAGCTTGACCATCTGGAAGTTCACGATTCAGGTGTTGTTGAAGTCTGGCTTGGAGAATTTTGAGCATTACTTTACTAGTGTGTTAGATGAGTGCAGTTGTGCGGTAGTTTGAGCATTCTTTGACATTGCCTTTCTTTGGGATTGGAATGAAAACTGACCTTTTCCAGTCCTGTGGCCACTGCTGAGTTTTCCAAATTTGCTGGCATACTGAGGACAGCACTTTCACAGCATCATCTGTCAGGATTTGAAATAGCTCAACTGGAATTCCATCACCTCCACTAGCTTTGTTCGTAGTGATGCTTCCTAAGGTCCACTTGACTTCCCATTCCAGGATGTCTGGCTGTAGGTGAGTGATCACACCATTGTGATTATCTGGGTTGTGAAGATCTTTTTTGTATAGTTCTGTATATTCTTTCTACCTCTTCTTAATATCTTCTGCTTCTGTTAGGTCCATAGAGGGAAAATATTAATAGCTAAAAAGTAAATTATTGAGATAGTTCGCTAAATTTGATAATAGACTGTGGATTACAAGTAATAGTATGTATCAGTGTTAAGCATCCTGGTTTTATGAAATTTTTACTGTAGTATGTGAGAGAATGTCTTTGTTCATAGGAAATATTTAATGAAGTATTAAAGTCTAAAGGGGCATGTCTCCAAGTTTTGATATAATGTAAAAGAAGGTATATAAAATGATAAAGCAAATAAGGAGATATGTAAATTGTTGGCTAATCTGAGTGAAAAGCATATGGGAGTTCCATATACAGTTCTTTCCACTTTTCTGAGTTTGAAATTATATCAAAATTAAATGTTACAGACTTAAGGTTTGTCTTTTTATCTTCTGAGCAGCAGCATGGTCCAGATGATTCTTAGAAAAATAATGTTGGAAAAAAAAAATAATGATGTTGGATATGCTTTTTTGGCCTGGTTTCCTCCTTTCAGTTTGTCCTTAGATTTTTGTCTGTTTCTCAACTTCTGGATCCCAGTATACTATTTATTTTCTTTTATTATAGCAGTTTCTCTATAAGACTATTACATAATTAATATGGGTTACTCAGCTTCTATTCAAATTTATTCTAGCAAGTAAGATTGTATGCCTTTGACAACCTGTTCTCGTTTTGTGTATTTTTTTCTTGTTCACATGCTTTTCCTTTGCAGTATCTTGGGTAATGTTAAAAAATGTACAGTTTTCTTTTGAGAAATTAAAATATTAACTTCCCAGTGAACAACTTTGCTTCTGTTTTCATCCAATAACCTTTTTTGTCTAAAATTTGTGGTTAATCTGTTGGTAGAAGATCAAGTGTGATATGAGGTCTAACCTTAATTGAACATATTGGACTGTGGGCTCATTTTTGGTTTTGGCTCAAGCAAGTAATCTCTAAATGCTGTTAGGCCATACCAGGCTTTCTGCCCATCACAAATGAGTCAGAGAAGCCCTTTCCTAAGTAGAAACTGCCATCAAAACCTCTTACTACTTTGTTGGCATTCAACTGTGGATTTTTGCCTGTCCATCGTTGCTGTTTCATATTATAAGCAAATATCCAGTAAAGGCTATTTTGAGTGGGTTTACTAAGAAGATCATGATGATTCATTTGGTGCTCATGTCTTCAATTGGTTAACCAGTTTTCTTTCCTTTGTGTGTATGATGGGATCTTCACTAGACAGAGGTAACCTATTGGATGGCTGTGTACCTGGATGATGGTGTGGTGGTGCTTGTTGGTTTAGTTTTCATGATACTCCTCCCAAGGTTATGCTTGCAGTGCTGCTGCTTATTTTGTGCTTGCATGATATTATTACTTTGACTGCGCTTTGTTGGTTTGGGTTTTTAAAACCTCCTCTCTCTCTCTTTTTGGTACCTAGAATAATTCCTGAAATTTCTTTGGTTGGTCCAAAATGAGTCAAACTTACAAAAATGAGTTTCAAGTCTAACTCTTTCATGGATCCTTTTCAGTTTTTGAAAGTATCATCAATGTCACCTCTTAAGTTTCTGTTCTGGTAGGGAATCAGAAAAAAAAAAAGGTAGGTTTCCCTTAAACACCCAGGAATAGACTGCTTCCCAGATAGACCATTTCTGAACCTGAGAATTAACTCTCTTTGTGAGCTTATAGATTAAAGAAAATAAATACATACTTAGAGTTAAAACTAAGTTATAGCATCATTTCTTCAAATAGCTAAAATTTAGGAGCCTCCACCAAAGTAACAGTAAATATAATTATCATGCCTAAAGCTTGATGTGTATGTCTGATTTGAGATTATATTTCAGAGATGCTGTTTACTCTGTAAACTGTTCTACATTTCAAAAACTAAGATTCTTGGGGTTCATAAGGTAAAAGTTAAAATTAATATTTCAGAAATTAATTTTCTGAGCATTTGGGTGGGTGTTGACAATAGTTACTAACTTCTTCATTTCTGATCACTAGTTCTGATCACTAGTTGTTTTTCTTGGGTATTTGTAACTGATTTGTTTTTTTCTCTCTATACCTTATATACCTCTGTAGAAAAAGGTTGATTGTTTTTCAGACTCAGAAACAAATTCAGACCTGAAGTGGGCCTGTTATATGTTAAATGGCAGGAGTTCATAAAACTGAAAAACTTTTATTGCTCACATTAAGCCAGTGTTGGAGCAAATAAAAAAATCATCTTTTGCTTATAATTTTAATCATCTTAAAAACTGTAAAGGATCCATTAAATTGGAATGGCCATCAGAGAAATGCTTATAATAAATAGCATAAAACTGTCAGATAAATGGTCATTCATCTCTAACTATTTATATTCTCATTCTGTTATATCTTCTTTTTATCTTTTGGTTGGACCCATACATTCAATAGAAAATTGCCCAGGAACGAGAAAAATTTGCTGATGAAGGCAGTATATTTTACACCCTTGGAGAATGTGGACTCATATCCTTTTCAGACTACATTTTCCTTACGACTGTTCTTTCCAGTAAGTATGAACTTTGTATTCACTTACAGGTAGCATACAGGACCATAAAAAAGAATTAAGTTGATTGGAGGAGGAAACAAAACATGTTTGCGAAGTTAATGAATCATAAGTTACATCAAATTTCATTTGTTTGGGATACTCTATAACTTGTATATAGAACCACCTGAAAAAGAGGAAGGAAAATAAAGTATCCAGGTAAAGTTAGAAGAAAACAAAAAAGCAACTGTGAAGTTACATCTGCTTTTAACTGTTTGAAGCTCAGATAATTTATACATTGCCTACTCCTTTAGCCCTCATTAATGTTTATACTTCCTCAGTAAAACACATATTAATCTAGTATTTCCTCTACTAAAGATGATTGGCTTGGTTGTTCTAATTGTGTTGAATATTCATTTTTGAACCTTGGAAGATTACTTCTTAAGACACACAACTCATCATTTACTCCTTTAGAGCACTGATGAATTTCTGATTATTCTAGGCTAAACAGTTTTGTTGATTAGTATGCTACTGTGAGTGTTCTTAGCATTATTTTCTTTTAGTGTGACTTTTTTTTAACCATTCAGAAAAAAATGTCTCTAGCTCTCTGTGTGCATTCCATTGAAATCTACCTAACTTGATCCAAAGAGATCTGATACTTGAAAGAAGTGATTCTCAGTTTTTTCTCCATGGAGGACAGAACCAAATAAAAATAAGCACCTCTTCCTACCCTTCTCCAGAGTAGGCATCTATAAAGATGAAACTGTAGCAGTTTTCCAAACTATGGTTTCCAGCGGGGAAGGGATGAGGAGGGAGAATTTGGGAGATTGGGATTGACGTATATACTACTGTATATAAGTGTGTTAGTTGCTCCGTTGTGTCCGACTCTTTGCGACCCCATGGACTATAGCCCCCCAGGCTCCTGTATCCATGGAATTCTCCAGGCAAGGATACTGGGGTGGCTTGCTATTTCCTCCTCCAATTGTATATAAAATAGATAATTAATAAGGACCTACTGTATAGCACAGGGAACTCTTCTCAATACTCCATAATGACCTATATGGGAAAAATATCTAGAAAAGAGTGAATATATGTACAACTGATCTACTTAGCTGGATAGCAGAAACTAACACAACATTATATATCAGCTGTACTCCATAAAAATGTTTTTAAAACTATAAACAATTCTCAGTAAATGATATACACAGTTCCTGCCATAGCTGTGACCACTGTTACTTTTCTCTCCTCCAATTAACAGAAAAAAATGAAGAAATATAGACTGATATGCTTTACCATAGCTGTCCCTGAGTACCAAAGTAATTGAATAAATTTGTAGTGGGCCAGTGCTCTAGCAGCATAGATACATATTAACTTGTTATGAAGACCCAAAATAATAAACTGAAAGCACATTTATGGTCTTATATTTTGTATTATTAAAATTATTTTGATGCATTTTCAAAACAGACTTCAGTTCAAATCCTGGCCCCACCACTTCTTACCTATGATTAAGTGTCAGGAAGACCACAGAGCAGAATCTTCAGTTTCTGCTGAAGATAGAAACTGCACATTGTGTAGCTCCCTAAATTCTGATTTTTTTTTTTAAAAGTCACACTGACTTATGAGTACTAGGAACCCCTCCAAGTAGCTCTACAGGTCTGGGCACCTTTACTTCTTGGTACTCAGTTCCTGGCTTAACCTTGATGAGTGAGTTACGAAAAATGCTTAATATTACAATCTCATATACTTTCTGTATTTGTCAGGATGAGAAAATATGATGAGGATATGTTTTTAGTATTTCTCTCCCTCATTGCGGGCAGATTTTTTACCATCTGAGCCACTAGGGAAGCCCAGTATTAGCTTGAGCCTTAACACTCTTGATGTTTTAGGCAGGGTAACTGAGTTTTGTGAGGGCCGTCCTTTCTATTATAGGATGTTTAGCAGCGTTCCTGGCCTCTACGCATTAGATGCCAGTCATGCACACTCTCCCCCACCCAGCTGTGGCAAACAAAAATGTCTTTGTCAAATGTCCCCAGAGGAGTAGGAATGGGGAGGAGTAATCCCTGGTTGAGAACCACTAATGTAGTTTTTAGCAGGGCTGTTTGGTTATGGTTTTATTATGTACCTCAATATAGCATTCTTCTGTTTCTTATCTTGGGATTCTTTGAGTTTTGGGGTCTGTGGGTTTATAGTTTTCATCAAATTTGGAAAAATTTCAGCTCTTATTTCATCAAATACTTTTCTTTGAGGACTTCAGTTGCACCTACATTTTCCTTATATCAACCCTGTAATGTTTGTAGTTTACTATCTTCATTTTACAGATGAGGAAATTGAGGCATACAAAGCAATTAAAAACTTGCCTCAAGTCCCACAGTAAGTAGATGATTTAGGGCTTGAACCCAGGCCACCCCAGCATATGGGCTTCTGTCACTTGGCTTTACTGCTGTGGTCACATTTCCAGCAGTGATGAGCCATAGCTTACCATAGTGCCTCTTCTTTCTCTAAAACTGAGCTGTGGAAAAGCTGGTCATAAACTCTCCTGTAGATAATGGGCAGTTCACGCATTCTTACAATCTGTATGTTGTACACTGCATTGTTTACTTTATTTAACAAATCATGGAGGGAAATATGCCCAGAAATAACATTGAGATCAGTTATTTCCCACATTCTAATTGCTGCTAGGACGATAAGTGAGGCATTCAGTGAATCGACCTTTTTGAATAACAAGGAATCATTACATCTAAATACACTTCTTGCCAGGTCATCCGGCAAGAAGAAATGCAATCCTTTAAACACCAGAAGCTTTGCTAGGGAGTGGCTTGGGCCTCGGAGAGTACATTAGCATATTTATTCATCTGTTACTCTGATGAACAATGTGGACCGTTCTTCAGATTTCTGTGGAAAACCAGCTAGAGCAATGTGAACAGCATAACCTGTATGATACAAGACTGTTGTTTTTCTAATTATCTGGGTTTTTTTTTCCCCAAAATTAATAGACTCAATGGTGTTCAAGACTTTGCCATCTATTTTAGAAGTTTCATTTTTTTAGCTAAACAATTTTTTTTGACTTACACCCAGAATAACAACCAATTTGGCAGCAATATCTTGTGCTTATAATAAGCAGTGACATAAATTTCTCGCTCTTCTCTGTATGTACTTTGGATAATGGGTACCTTCTCTGGCCAGCCTAAAATTTTAAATACCTTTTATCCTGTCATACACACACACTTACACATACACATCTCCTAAATCCCTCTTTTGCTCTCTTTTTTTCTCCTTCATTTGTCATGATTTCACATTCTTTATCAGTTCAGTTCAGTTCAGTCACTCAGTCGTGTCCAACTTTTTGTGACCCCATGGACTGCAGCACACCAGGCTTCCCTCTCCATCACCAACTCCCAGAGCTTACTCAACCTCATGTCCATTGAAGTCAGTGATGCCATCCAACCATCTCATCCTCTGTTGTCCCCTTCTCCTCCTGCCTTCAGTCTTTCCCAGCATCAGGGTCTTTTCCAGTGAGTCAGTTCTTCTTATCAGGTGCCAGTGTATTGGAGTTTCAGCATCAGTCCTTCCAAAGAATATTCAGGACTTATTTTCTTTAGGACTGACTGGTTGGATCTCCTTGCAGTCCAAGGGAGTCTCCTTGCAGCAAGGCACTCTCAAGAGTCTTCTCCAACACCACAGTTCAGAAGCATCAGTTCTTGGATGCTCAGCTTTCTTTATAGTCAGACTCTCACATCCATACGTAACTACTGGAAAAACCATAGCTTTGACTTCTGGACCTTTGTTGGCAAAGTAATGTCTCTGCTTTTTAATATACTGTTTAGGTTGGTCATAGCTTTTCTTCTAAGGAGCAAGTGTCTTTTAATTTCACATTCTATATAATTTATTTCTTTTCTTTCCTAAAACATTATATGAGTTTCAGGTGTTCAGCATTATAATTCACCATCTTATATACACTACAAAGTGATCACTATTACAAATCTAGTTACCATCCGTCACCATATATAATTAACCCCCTTTACCCATTTCTCCTACCCTTCAACCCCCTTCCCCTCTGGTAACCTCTAGTATGTTCTCTCTGAGTTTGGTTTTGCTTTATGTTGTTTATTTGTTTTTTTTTTTTAGATTCCACATGTGAATGAAATCATTTGGTATTTGTCTTTCTCCATCTGAATTACTTCACTTAGCATAATACCCTCAAGGTCCAAGGTTATCACAAGTGGCAAGATTTTACCTTCTGTTATGACCGAGTTATGTTCCATTTTATATATATGTGTGTGTGTGTACCACATCTTCTTTATCCATTCATCCACTGGTGGTTTGATTCCGTGGCATGGCCATTGTAAATAATGCTGCATTGAACATGGGGATGCCTTTATCTTTTAAAATTAGTATTTTTGTGTTCTCCAGATAAATACTCAGAAGTGGATAATTGATATATCTTCTTTATTATCTTCCTACCTAGAATGTAACTGCCTGACAGTGAGCATAGGTTTGTAATGATTATTTGTTACAGATTTGTAGTGATATTAATCACAAACTTATCTACTATGTATAAGCATTGTGGCAAAGTAACAAAGCAAGGATTTTTTTTTTTCAGTTTTCTTCTAAACGAAGTTTATAAAACAGAAGACTTTGCTGTTTATATCCTGAGTTGAGAACAGTTCTTTTAGCTGTTGATGTCCTCAGTCTGCATCTAGTACCAGTGGAGTGAGGAAAATATGTTTTTAAGTTAACCTACTTCTAAGTGAAGTAAGTTATGAGAAATATAATTAAAAGGTTTCTTATAATTCAGAATTGACATATTTGTATCCCCCTTTTACCCTAATTCACGGATTTTTATTGTTTCATACTTTACCTGTCTGATGAGGTTTGATGGATTGACTTGAACAGCTGTCACACATGAGCCATGGAATCTGTACCAAGTAGAATACCAAGTATTTACTAAAGAACTGCTCACTGATAAAATAAACTTAGATTCATTCCAGGCATGATAAAGACTGTTAATAATTATTGTTATTAAA